GCAGAATCCAGTTTTTTTTTTTTTTAACCCCGTCCTGACTCCACTACATCTAATTGCCCCCTAGTCACTCTCAAATGCCCCTAAACCCCCCCATATTACCTATTTTTTAATCTTCATTTCATGCCCAAAGGCCATCTTTGTGTGGGCAGATGAGGTCCCTGTGGGACATGTCATCTGCCCACACTAGATAGCGCTGTGAAATTCCCACGCATGCCCAGTTAAACACTTGGGCATTCGCTATTGTCCAAAAATTGGATGGGAATTTCGTATATTCATTCGTCAGAAAGACGAAGGAATGAATAGAAATTTCAGACGAACAAACACCATCGGTGTTTGTTTGTTCGTTCATTCAGTTTATTACAAGGAGGGAGCTACTGGCTCACAGCTCCCTCCTTGTAATATGTAAAAATAGAAGCGTCAGGGAGCTGTGCTCCCCATCACTTCCTAAGCCCCCATGTCCTCTCTCACGATATGGGGCCCTAAAAGACAATAGGGGGGAACCTATTGTCCTCCCCCTGGCCCCCACCCATGAGCGGCAGGTGGGAGCCCTAAAAGACAAGAGGGGGGGACCCCAGCCCCCATCCATGAGCAGCAGGTGGGGGCCGTAAAAGACCATAGGGAGTGGGCCTATTGTCTCCCCCCACCTATGGGTGACGGGTGGGGGCTAAATGTAAAAATACCCCCCAGGGTGACAAGGAATCCCCAAGTTCTTAGTCACCCCCTTCCCAAAAATTTTTAATTAAACCTACCTACCTCCCTCACTCTAAAAATTATGGGTGGGCGCCGAGGGGGGGCAATAGGCCCCTCACCCCCATGGTCTTTTAGGGCACCCCACACTATGATGTCCCCCGTTTAATTGAATAGCCCCCACTAGTGGAGCATGGGTAAGGGCTCGGAGAAGACACTATGTGCTCCCCACGCTTGTTAAGAGATGCCCCACCATGGGACCATTTATTGGGGGGGGGGTGCTTTATTTAACTTTATTTTATTTAACAGTGAGCAGCCGATATAGCGAGTAGGGGCGGATTAACCTTTCCTTAGTATTAGTAAAGTTGGCTGAACGACCAATCTTGGTCTTTCAGCCTTTTGGTAGATCGTTCCCTGATACTGTGGGAGTTAGGGAGCTATCTACTAAGCGGCTGCAAGATGCAGCCACTGCACGGATCGGAATTTAATTCATTAGAATGAAATTTCGAACTGACCTAAAAGTACCGAATGCCGTCCTAACATAAATGAACAACTGTTCTCATTCTGTTAGGGCGAAATTTTGTAGTTTCCCCGGCGTCTGTTTAAATGACAGTAGGTTCGGGAGATCACAGAGGAAACGTGAGCATTGCGGGAAATTGCTCTGACCACAGGAAATGGAGCACACTTTGCTCCTCCGCTGGTCATAGCTGGTCAGGAGTAGGAAATATACATAAGATAAAATAGTCCCTACTTCATCCTATGTTTTAAAGAAAACTAGAGCAGACAGGAAGAAATGAACAGATCCTGAGAAAGGAAGCGATTAGGGAAAGGTAAGTTCGGCATGACAGTGCCGCTTTAAGGAAGAATTAGGAAGGGAGTTGAGTTTAGTAGAAAGCTCCCTATTTGTTATCATTAAATATGGCAATCCAACTTATAGAATGTATGTGTTGCATGTATGTAGAATATTTGTGTTCGGGGCAACATTGATTATGAAATGAAGTAAGATTGTTGTTAGCAAACCTGTGATGGGAAAAAGTCGGTTGAGGTGTGCCGAAACCAATGTATGATGTAGGCCAGTAAATAAAGTGAGCCTACACTAGAAGAGTATGGTGAATAAAGGGAGTGGAGGGTGGGGCAGCAGCTCGTCAGACCAATCACGGCAGGGTAGGGAAGGGGGGAGTAACTTCAGGCCAAGCTTTCCAATTTGTGTTCAGGGCAACATTGATTATGATATGAAGTAAGATTGTTGTTAGCAAACCTGTGATAGGAAAAAGTCGGTTGAGGTGTGCCAAAACTGACGTATATAGAATGTAGTAGTAAGAACATATTACGGTCAATAAAACTTTACACTATCTAAGACAAAATCTCTTTGTGTCTAGTCTCAGTGGTTAAACTCTTGTGATTTTGTACAGTCCTGTTAATGAGCAGGTTACCATAGAAATGTTTTATATTGTCCTAATGTATTGAAGGCCCTGGTGCCATACTTTTTTTGGGCAACCCGCTCATACAAGAGTGGCAAAAAGGTAGATCCCCATCTGTTGCACAACTACTAGAATGCTACGCCAGCTGTGGATCTACCATTTACCCATCTTTGCGGGACTGTATTTGTGAGCAGTGTTAGTGTGTTTGAATTTAAGTGTGTTTTTGTATAGAGTATGTGTGTGGATGTGTATTTGTATGTACTGATGCCATTGGAATGCAGTGTTGTACATGTGAGTAGTGTTTGCATTTGAATGCAGAGGTGTGTTTGTACGTAGTGTTTGCTTTAAAATTTAGGTGTGCTTTTGTGTGTAGTGTTAGTGTTTGAATGAAGGGGTGTTTGTATATAATTTTACAGTTTTAATACAGGGGGGTGTGTTCATCTAAAGTTTGCATTTTAGTTTAGCAGTGTGTTTGTGTCAGGATCCAAAAATTGAAATTCTGAACTTTATTAATTTTTCTTAAATTGGTTCCTGCAGTGATGAATATTTGCCTCTACTGGCCTCCCTCACAATTTTTTTTTTACCAGTATCCTATTATTTCAATAAGTTTTCCTTCTCTTGCTTTACGTATCTCTCTTATAGGTTACACTGTCTCTTTATATCCTGTTCTGAGGCGTATTGCCTTCTCCCCAATAATTTAATAATGATAGGTTCTTCTTCAATCTCCTACCTATAATTTCTTTTATAGGTTTACCTGTTACTTTATATCCACTCTGGGGCTTATTGTCTAAATCCTTTATTACATAGCATAGTTTCTACCTGTAATTTCAGTTTCCTGTTTATTCTATAATGTCCAAATCAATCAATAAAGATCCTAAAGTTAACCCTGGCAATCGTCTCCTACCTGACCTGACCAAGATCATGACAGTTTGTATGTAATGCCTTCTAAATACAGGTGTACATTTTTAAGTAGTATAGGTATTGGTATATAATTTTGGAGTTGAATGCATAGGTGTGTTTGTTTGCAGGGGTGTGTTTGCATGCTGTGTTGGTGTTTAATTGCTGGAATATATGCACATACATATAAATACAATGACACATACACAAATTCAGATACACCTTGACTAATACACACACATAGATAACACACTGAAACAGGTACACTCACTGACCCATACACAACCTGAAACACAGATACATACGGACACACACATGGACACACAGATACTCACACTGACACATACACACAGTGACACACAGATACTCACACTGACACATACACACAGTGACACACAGATACTCACACTGACACATACACACAGTGACACACAGATACTCACACTGACACATACACACAGTGACACACAGATACTCACACTGACACATACACACAACCTGACACACAGATGCACACTGACACATACACACACCCTGACACACAGATGCACACTGACACATACACACACCCTAACACTGATGCATACACATACCCAGACACACTGACATATACACACAGTAACACACAGTAACACACAGGTACACACTGACACATACACACACGTTGACATGCACATAACTTGACACACTAACACATAAACACATACTAACACACAGATGCACATATACACACACTGACACACAAATACGGACATTGACATGTACACACACTGACATAAACTCATACTGACATTTACACAGATACACACCGACACTTATAGGAACTGACTGTCTCTCACTTTTTCCCACTGCTGCTGATGTGAAAGGGGGCTGGTCACACTGTTTAAGGGCCGCAGCGCACAGCTAGGCCCCTGTTGAGCAATACACATTGGGTGGCCCTTAGCACAAAGGCCACCCGATGGACCCCGCTGCATGTGTACCCCCATGCTTCCCTCCAAAACAAGTATTTCATAAACACAGGAAGTTTATGAAATACTCAGATTAACTGTGTTGGAATTTCACTTATAGTTTAACCCAGTTAAACGATATACTGAGACAAAGTACTGACTGCTTTGTCTCACTATTTTTCCCACACTTGACAAAGCTTGACACAATGCAGAGCTACTGCCATCAAGCCTTCTCATTTCCCCCAGACATCAGCAGTGATGGATGTAAGGTAATGAAGCTCTCATCTCCCACGGGATCCTCCATAGACCTCAATCCTGTACTCTTGCACATAATTAAAAGTACAGCCCTGACCTCGGTTCCTGACAGCTGAAGTGGATGGTGGCACCCGTGAGGGACAGTTTTAGGTAAGTAAAATTCACCTTTCCTTACAAACCTGCCACAGACCCTAAATACTGGTGTCACCGACAAGGGTCTTTGCAAATTAGTCAAGGGCCGATGATGACAGAGCTTTTAAAATTGAAATTCACGTTGAATTCCCAATAATTATCATTTTAGTGAATAACCGTGTATGGAGTCCTGATGTCAATGTTTGCAGTCTTTTCTGAAAAGCCAAATTGTATGGCGACAAAAGACTGAAAAGGTTAAAAAAAAGTGTAATAATTTATAGCACAATGAATAGATTACATTTTGACTTGTATTGTTTGTGACAAGTGTACTATAAAGTTCCATCTTTTTTTGGAAGCAAATCGTCTTTAAAATTTGATTAGAACTTTGAAGAAACATATGTTATATAATATACAGTGCGTTTTTAACATGATTGAACCCTGTTTGATTCAATGTGAAAGCAGATTGTGGATTCAGTTATTTTCATATTTTACATCAAATTATTTCATGAGAATGTAACTACTGCAGATCTGGTATACTGTTTTACATGAAAAAAATGGCCATTTCACTGACTGAGTCCATTCTGTATCAGCCTTTAACACATATTAAAAAAAACAAATGTTTCTTATCTTATAAAAATTTTACCCTTTAGGGGCACTTTAAGGCGATAAACAGCTGTGTTCATGGGTGGCATCCCCTGTGTTTTTTGTCAGATCCTTTTAGAATGGTTATACAAAGAGCAAGGTGTCCCCTGCACCCAAATACCACCCCATATTTAGCCTCACTGATAATGCTGAAATTAAACTTATATTATCAAGAGCAAATCAGTCAAGCTTGGTTGTAAATGATAGGATGAGATCACTGGGCAAACCATCCCTAGTGCTCTCAGCCTATTATTGCCATCCATGGTTGGAAAATGTACACTTGATAATGAGAAAGCATGTGGCCTTAGTTTTTGTCAGATCTCACCGAAGTGCTATGTTGTGGTTATGGAAGTGCCCCTTGAAATTGAATGTATTTTTCTATTTTTGCAAGATAGTCATTCTCCTAATTTTTTGTATATGACACTTGTCTGTTGTCTGTTCATGTCATTGTATTATTAATAGCAAAAGAAAGGTAAAGCACTGGAAGTTCTAGTAGTGCAAGTAGACCAAAGGCATGCAAACTCTGAAACTGGGGACCCCTCCAAGCCCAAACAAGAAGTAAACAAATAGTACAAACAACAGGTTGCGCCAATATAAAAAAAAAGACTAATAAAACAAATAATTAAAATTTAAAAAGTGAAAAAAGTAGATACTATAGAATAAATAAAATACAATAAAAAATATACAATAAAATAGTATAGAAATAGAAAATTCTTCTAATGGCCTTCTAATTCCGTCCTCATTCGGTGTATATGTGGATAGCAGGCATGCCAGGCACCCACCTTCCTACTTGACAGTTGTTTTAGTATTTTTTTATTTTTTATTGGCATAACCTGTTGTTTGTACTATTGTTTTTACTAATGTAGGGAATATTTAAACTTTTCACCGATTTTAGGATCCAGCAAGATTAAATATAAATTAGTGCTTACATCCCTTTTTCTTTTTCTCACAACACACTAAGTACAACTTGGCTGATAGCTGACACTTCAATCAAGTTACAAAGCAGAGACAATAAGCAGCAAAGCCCATGGTATTAATATAAACTACATGTACATAAAAATCTGATTCTAGAAAAAAATAAAAAGATTTTTACAGTATTAGGTGATTAATGCTATTGCTCAAAAGAAATATTACAGATTAATTAGAGGGATACTGTGAGTACCATAACCACTGCAGTCCGTTGTCATGATGGTGCTAGCAGGGCACTGGCACTGTCCTCCGGTTCTGTATCGAACTGTTTTCAAGCAGTTTGACACAAAGACCATGATTTAATATTGTTGAATAAGCTTTCAAAATTATTTCATATTTTGGATAAACTTTTCAAATATTTTTTTAAAATATAAAAATATCAAAACATCTACCATATCTGAAAAACATCAACATATCACAAAATAATAATAATGTTACCAAATTTCTATATTTTTCATGATATTAAATAATTTTAAAGGTCTATACAAAAATATTAAATAATTAAAAAACATTTCCAACAATATTATTTCAAGGCCAAAAATGTTGGATTCCCCAAGTGTCCAAGTCCTAGCCCCTCGTTCACCACTTCGCTACTGTGTAAGTTATAGTTCTGCATAGCCGTGTAAATTTTATCTAAATTTTGACAGCATTGATTGTGTAAGAACATTAGCAGACAAGCTAAGTCAATCAGTGCTGTTGAATTGTGGAATGAATTTAACATTGCTACTGTGGCAGTGTTACCTGAAGACCCTCGGTTTGTTTGACACAGAGGAGGAAATGGCTCTAGTAGCCTGCTAGAGCCATAACAACTACAATGGATTGTAGTGGGCACTTTTAATTTATCAATTTTTTTTTTTTTAACATATCGCACATTTTTTGCAAAATATCTATTTGTTTTTTTAGCTATATTCATTTTCAAAAACACAATAACATATTTAATTCTGTATCTGTTTATTCAGTTTAATTAAGACACTAATGAAAAATATTTAGTGTAGAGCAGTGTTTTTATGGTTACATGTTTAATAATTGTCCTTTATATTTTTATTTTTTATGCCACAGTGCACAAAACAAATAGCTTTCTTTCCCTTCCTCTGCTTTGCCACATCTTTTATTAGTCACCATTCTGTTTCATCTCTACCTGCATTCAAATACAAACCATCACAAGAAGCTACATTTTATTTTTTTCAACATACAAGAGAAAGCCTGGCTTCTTTTTAAATAAGGCACATTATTGTGTGGCATATACACTGTTAGATGTGACCTGTGCCATTGGCTGATTGGGTGTCAAAATACAGTGCAATACAACAACATATCACAGATTTTTCAGAAGAAATGACAATGTGTTTTTGATGTACAACACCTATAGGCTACACATTTCGAGAGGCATAAGCTTAGAGTTCTTCCGTTTCCCCATCCAGTGGCACAGGCACATCAATATTGTAGTTTGTGCCTTCACCAGATCCCAACCATCCAACTGGTGTCCTGTTAAAGGACGGTCTGTTGGCAACAGCTGCATTGAAGACAATTTCTGGTTCTGGTTCTACGGGCCCAGCATCAAACTCTGGCATCTGAAAAGTCATCAACTTTGCTGCTTTGTCATATCCACCAAAAGGCATAGCTGACCTAGAAAGACAATATATGGTAGCTCAACAGCTGTGTACTACTTAGAAATACATGTTTTATTTGTCTATATGTCTAACAGTTTGGGAGATAATATTTTAAGATTTCATTAGAATCTATAAATCAGTAATTAAGATTCTATTTACACAATCTGCATCTGAGATATAATAACCTACTGTTATAAACAATGAATAAAATGTCTCCATATTCTCATCCAAATTAATATTCTTATGAGAGACTAACATTCCTTAAGATTAACATTCCAGGTTAATATACACCGATCAGCCACAACATTAAAACCGCTCACTGATCAAGTGAATCACATTGATTACATTGTTACAAAGGCACCTGTCAAAGAATGGTATATGTTAGGCAACAACTGAACAGTCAGTTGTTAAATTTCATGTCTTGGAGGCAGGGAAAATGGGCAAGTGAAAAGACCTGAGTGAGTTTGACAAGAACCAAATAGTGATGGCAGAATGACTTTGCCAGAGCATCTCCAAAATGGCAAGTTGTCACATCAAGCTCTGTTCTGCGGAGTTGTCTGGCCTTGGCTTCTGGTATCCAGTACTCTTTTTTTACAATTCTTGTTTAGTTTTTCTTGGTTTTCTGGTTTTCTATTGCATGTCTGGTTTTCTTTACCCTGCATCAGGCCCTGATAATCAATTTCCACACAGTGACAACTGCTATCAAGATCAGGCATACTGGGTCCCGGTCACCGGACCACCACCCCTGACAGTATGGCCGTAGGCTCTTATGGAGTTCGTGGAGTGGACTCTGCAGCTTTCCTGATCTGCCCTGTCTGGATTATTTAGCGTACAAGAGTTCCTGTATCTGAACCAGTCTGCTGGAGATGACTTCCTCATTCCTGTTCAGATTGTCTGATTCCTGTCTTGGAGGAGGTCTTTTTGCTAAGCAGTTCGGTGGTCTCTGCAGGTGTCCTCGTGTGATGCTTGGTTCCTGGTTCCGGTTCTTATTCCGATTCCTGTTTTGTGGCAGTGCTCCTGTTTTTCTGGTTTTCTATTCCATGTCTAGTTTTCTTTATGCTGGGTTTTCTGGATTCATTCCTTTATTCCGTTCCTGGAATTCCCAGTCTCTTGGATTCCTTTATATGTTTGTTTTATGTTGCCACACCTGTTCCTTTTCCATTAATCCTTTTGCTTCAGTTGGTTCCTGCATGCAGTTGTTCCAAGTCCTCTGCCCCTTTCTTGCAGGTAAGTGTTGTGTGTGTTTTATTATTGTTTATTTAGTCATGCATACCTAGGCAGTCTAGGACCCACTGTAATTGGGGTACTTTGGCGCAGTTGTGGGCTGCATACATCTTGGCTATTTATGTATGTCTAAATCTCCAATGTTTTATATATATAGTACTTAGTTATGTCTCCTCTTGTTTTGCCTAGTATCTCTTGTCTTGTTTTATTTTGTCTTGTATTCCCAGTTCATGTACAGTCCTGTCCTGCCCTGTTCATGTTTCCCTCATGCATTGTGTACATGTTCTGGGTTCTGCTTTCTGTCCTGCTCCAGTTCTGGTTTCTCCTAGTTTTGTTTTGTTTTCTTGTTTTGTGTTTATTCTAGTCTTGCCTTGTTTCTGTACTGAATACATGTCTGCTTCCAGCCTCCTAATCCAGTTCCTGGAGGTCTGCATATTGTCATCTGGCACCTGGGATCCGCAGAAGCTGCATCAGGGTTCTGGTATGTAGCCGCACAAACGCTGGTGCTCAACACCAGGGGGCGTGTGGTTGCCCTGATAATCCATTTCCACACAGTGACTCCTACTATCAAAATCAGGCATACTGGGTCCTGGTGACCGGACCGCCACCCCTGACACAAGTCTTGTGGGGTGTTCTCAGTATGCAGTGGTTAGTACCTACTGAAAGTGCTGCTAGAAAGTACAAACGATGAACCATGGTTCAGGGTAATGGTCACCCAAGGCTCATTGATGCACGTGGGGAGGGAAGGCTTGCTACTGTAGCTCAAATTGCTGAACATCTTTATGTTGGCCAAGAAAAGTGTCAGATCACCCAGTGCGTTGCAATCTGATGCATATGGGGCTGCATAGCCACAGACGTGTCCATCTTTGAAAGCTCCAAGTACAATTTTTATACAGCATTCTTGGCAAACCAACCTACTAAGCATGGGTGTCCGCAGGTGGGGCAAGGGGGGGGCACTTGCCCCCACATGGATTTTTCAGCTTGTTCTGCTATTTTTCGTGTGAGATTTAAAATGAACTGCAATACCGGTGCTGGCCAGTAGGTGGCCTTTTGTATGGAGAGAGACAGGGATAGGAAGCTGCATCTATCCCTGCTTCTCTCTGCTGATTGAAACAGCAGGGGAGAAGCACATGCAGGCAACAGAGACAGTCTACATGTCAGGTAAGTGAGGCATTGGGGGGAGAAAGCCTATAGAT